GTCCACCCACTCCCCTCACCTTGCATCTCTTACCATAAATCTCTTATTCCGTCTCCTCCTATCAGCCCAATTTGCTTACCCGTTCCCCCCGCCTCCTACGATTTGATGCTGAAGGCTCTACAAAACAGATCCACCCAACCTCTCGGTGCCCCAGTCTTGCCCTCTCACTCCCTGTCTCTTAAACGCTTCTCCTGCCCTTCCAGCCCGCGTGACCCAAATCCCACTGTTTCTGTTGAGCTACCACACACGGTACCACCTCCTGACTATGCCGATTACAAACACCAGAACTGATATGGAAGTCTCCACCATTGACGATCCACTACTGGCGGACATTCCAGACACTGTTTGGCTTTCTGCCTGTCGGGCTAATCCACCGTTCATCCTCGGGTGTTTGTAGACGACCCCCACACTCCATTAGCTCGATTAATCGTCTATCTACGCTTCTTTTTCACACTCAAGCTCTACCTCACCCGAACAAACTAATTGTTGCGGATCTCAACCTTCCTGAGATTGCCTGGTCTCAACAAAACTCCCCTTTGCGCCTTTCGCCTCTGCTTGCTCAGCTTAATTTCGAAGGATGGTGCCAGATTGCAAGGCAACCGACACGCGGTGCCCACACCCTAGACATTGCCCTTGTAAGACAGAGACGTGGCTCTCTCCCAGCACACCTAATTCTCTTATCTCCCTTCCGGATTACACTATCTTCCGTTCTGATCGTTCCCACCGCCATGGAGATGGCTGCATCATATACACCAGAACTGATATGGAAGTCTCCACCATTGACGATCCACTACTGGCGGACATTCCAGACACTGTTTGGCTTTCTGCCTGTCGGGCTAACCCACCGTTCATCCTCGGGTGTTTGTAGACGACCCCCACACTCCATTAGCTCGATTAATCGTCTATCTACGCTTCTTTTTCACACTCAAGCTCTACCTCACCCGAACAAACTAATTGTTGCGGATCTCAACCTTCCTGAGATTGCCTGGTCTCAACAAAACTCCCCTTTGCGCCTTTCGCCTCTGCTTGCTCAGCTTAATTTCGAAGGATGGTGCCAGATTGCAAGGCAACCGACACGCGGTGCCCACACCCTAGACATTGCCCTTGTAAGCGGCTTTCTGTGTCCCACCGCGGCAGTTGGCCCGAAGTTTCCTGACGGCGACCACTGTATTGTAACTTGCAGCTGGATGAGTACTCTACCTTCAGCTACTCTTCCTCTCTTAAACTCTTTCATCCTTTCCCCGGGCATTCTTGAAG